CAGAGAATGTCGTCATAAAGACGATTCATTAACTATTTTCTTTTAAAAAACAAAAATAGTTTTTAAGAAAATGAAGAGTCATTCAGTGTTAAAAGAATACTGAAAACTCTATTTAAAACATTTTATCACTGAAGAGAAAATATTCAGTGATGGTTTTAAGACATCAGGTTTTAGTGAAGAGAGTCACTAAAACTGGCATTTAAAAATCTTTTTGTTCACTGATAAGAAAAGTTTCAGTGATCATTTAGATTTCTAAGATAAGTATAAAGATATAGTTGAAGATGTGGTGAGTGTAGAGAATCACTGAGACCACCTTTTAAAACATTTTATCACTGAAAAAGAGAAAGCTTCAGTGAAAGTTTTAAGTTGAGAAAAGAGAAGAGTAATCATACCTTAGAGAGAATAGATATATTTACTCAAGAGTTCAGTGTTAGAGATAGAGCACTGAATCATTTCACTTACTGAGTGATGTTTAATGACCGAAGGTTAATCTTCAATGTTCAACATGTCCAATTCGCTGATCAAGATATTAAATCTTGTCTCATCAAGAGGCTTGGTGAAAAGGTCAGCGAGTTGATACTCAGTTGGAACAAAGTGAAGTTCAATATCACCATTCATAACATTATCTCTGATAAAATGATATCGGATCTCAATATATTTGGTCTTGGAGTGAAGTACAGGGTTGTTTGCAATTGCAATGGCACTGGTGCTATCACAATAAATAGAAATCCTTGAAAACAGAAGATCGTAGTCCAATAGCTGATTTTTCATCCAAAGAATTTGGGCACAGCAGCTACCAGCGGCTACATACTCAGCTTCAGCTGTTGATGTGGATACTGAATTTTGCTTTTTGCTTGTCCAGCTCACCAACTTTCCACCTAGAAGCTGATAGCCTTCAGTGGTGCTTTTCCTATCAATTTTGCAACCTGCAAAATCACTATCCGAATAACCAATAAGGTCAAAACCTGAACCTTCAGGACACCAAAGACCCATATTAGGAGTTACCTTAAGATATATGAATATGCGTTTGACAGCAATCAGATGAGATTCCTTAGGTTCAGCTTGATATCTTGCACATAAGCAAGTGAAGTACATGATATCGGGTCGGCTAGCTGTGAGATAGAGCAAAGAGCCGATCATTCCTCTGTAAACAGTCATATTTACAGGCTTTTCATTTGGATCCTTGTTAAGAGTGAGTGGAGGAATCATAGGAGTCTTCATAGATGAACTGTTGGATA